TCCGCCTCCTGGGTTCAGGCAATTCTCCTGCCTCAGCCTCCTGAGTAGCTGGGATTACAGGCACGCACCACCATGCCCAGCTAATTTTTTGTAGTTTTAGTAGAGACGAGGTTTCACCATGTTGACCAGGACGGTCTCGATCTCTTGACCTCGTGATCCACCCACCTCGGCCTCCCAAAGTGCTGGGATTACAGGCTTGAGCCACCGCGCCCGGCAGAAATGTAATTTTTAGATGAGGGAGAGTCTCTCCAAGGAGGCAACATTTGTAAAGACCTGCAGGAGTTGAGGGCAGGTGCCATTCATCTTCCTGCCTTTGGACAGGACTGCCCACCTCTCTCTAAGGACCTTCTCCTGCCCTCATGTGGGTCCTCTGGTCCGGAATAGACTTGTGAAGTCATTGACAACAATCCTCAAACACTGCACTCCCCCAAGACTGCACAATAAACTCAGTCAGTAAGGTAGTAGCAATTCTTCATGGAGAACTCCTGGGTGGGGAGCCAAGCTCCAAAAAGCCCCATGAGGGAATGCCTTATCTCAGGAAGGAGCCCTTGGGATGGGAACCACCCCTCCTCCCTGCCTCTCTCCCCCACAGAGATTGAGTCTCACATTGTAAAGCAAGAAGATATACTTAATGGCAAAGAGAATGAGATTAAAGAGTTGCAGCAAGTTATCAGCCAGCAGAAGCAGATCTTCAGGTGAGGGGTCTGGGCTCGGCCGGGGATGTTGACGACACTGAGGAGCCAGATCTCTGGCCTCTACCTGCCCTGGGCTGTCCACAGCCTACCACCAGCCGGCTCCATTGCAGGAATCACATGTCCGACTTCCGGATCCAGAAGCAGCAGGAGAGCTACATGGCCCAGGTGCTGGACCAGAAGCATAAGAAAACCTCAGGAATGCGTCAGGCCCGCAGCCACCAGCATCCCAGGGAAAAATAAAATGGCTACTGCCTTCCTGTTCTCTGGCTGTAATCGCCAGCCTCTGCCTGCTCTGCTCTGCTCTGAGAGTCCCCAGCCTCTAGCCCCTGATACTTCCCTCCCTCTTGGGTAGTAGCAGGGGTCCACAGGGTAGGCACTTGTAGCCTAGGGGAGGAGCTAGGTCTTTGTTGTCTGGTAGGCACCACCCCTTCTTTGGGTATTTAATCCCTTCCTATATAAACAGCCCTTATTACCCAGTAACATCACACCCCACTCTCAGTGTCTTGGTAAATTTAACTCTTTCAACTTGACTACAGGGCAGGAAGCCCTGACCAGAAACTTCAAAGACAGGGTGTTCCAGAACTACAAGGAATTTGGGAAGTCAGTTTCCATCACATAAAAATAATGTTATACCTGCAAATCAAATTTGTACCTGCTAATACCTCCCCTCAACAAACGGGAGCTTCACCAATGGGAGGAAGGGAAAAGACTGCTGTGCTGGTTTTCAGGTGGAGAAACAATCTGGGAAGGGAGCTGGACTTGCTCAAGTTGCACAGGCAGGGCTGGATGGGATGGATTGGCTACATTCTTTCAGAAGCTGTCACTGAGTGTCCCCCAGGTGATCATGGGGATACACCCAGGCAGGGGACCCACTTCAGGGGTCAGGTTAGCCCAGTGTAGCCTGTCCTGGGTCAGTTTGAGGCTAAGTGCACAGGAGGGGCCAGTGCTCTTGCTCCAGGGCCAGCTGGGGCCTGAGTCATAGCAGGACCTTGAAGCCAGAAGTTTCAGGGCAAGTGGTGCCCACTGTTGTAAAACAATGACAGGTGGTGGCTGCCTCCCCACAGCGCCTGTCTCTAGAGCAGGTCCTAAGGCTACGGGGGCTGAAATGAGGGCCTTGTGAGTATCTTGGGGAGCACAGGGCTGTTCTTAACCTCCAGGGGCTTTGCAGCTGAGACCACAAGCTACTTTGAAGCTTCCCATGGGACTCCATGTTGGTATCAAGGAACTGTTCTAGGAGCTGAGGCAGACTGAAAGCTAGAGCTGTCCACTCCATCCTCTTCCAATAGGTCTCACTGAGGGCAATGGGTCCAGCTAGAGTTAGCACCTTCCTGGGGCCCTGAGGCGCCAGGGAGGCCTCTAGCAGTGTTGCTTACTCTACTGAAGGTTGGGGATTGGGGAGAGTGTAACTGAGGTCAAGGAAGGTGGTGGATACACCCTTAGGAGCTCTAGCTGAGGCCAGCAATGGCGATGGGGGTCCCCTGCAGTGATGTTAAGACACCCAGGGCTGAGGGGAAGATTGCTTGTACTACCTGAGTCGCCCAGCCTGAAGGCCTGGTTCCCCGGCTCACAGACTGAACCGCACACAGCAGTGCCTGACTTCAGTCGGATCGCTGCTGGGCCTCAGTTTCCTCACCTGTGATGGGTGGAGTTGGACCTAACTCCTGGCTCCAGGGCTTCAAAAGGTGGGCCTGCCGTTCCCTCACCTGCCTGTCAGCCAAAGCTTGGAGCCCACACCAGGTGCTCTGGCTTGTGCCGGAGAAGGGGGTCGGTAGGACATGGAGGCTGGAGAGGGAAGAGTGCAGAACCCAGGTCTCTCCTGCTGCTGGCGCCGCTGGCTCAGGAGTGGACGCGGCCGCTTTAAGGCACGGTGACCCCACGGCATCCTTGGGCGGGGCGGGGACAGTGCCGGCGCCACCAGCGGAGGCGAATGCGAGGGAGGTAGTGCGCGGCGTCCGGCCCCACCATGCTGACCGCGCTCGCCCCGCCAGCCCTGCCTGGGATCCCGAGACAGCTGCCCGCGGCCCCCGCACGGCGCCAGGACTCCTCCGGTTCGTCAGGCTCCTACCACACGGCTCCGGGTTCTCCGGAGCCCCCGGACGTTGGGCCGGACGCGGAAGGCCCGGCGAATTGGCCCTGGGTGGCCCTTGGGCGGGGGGCGGGCGCGCAGCCTCGCCTGTCCGTCAGCGCCCAGAATAGCCGCCAGTGCCACAGGCCCGGCTCGGGTTTCCCTCGAGGCCCGGGCTCCGGCCCACGGCCACCCCAGCCCCAGCTGCGCACTCTGCCGTCGGGGGAGATGGAAGTCATCTTCGGCGTCGGACCTCTGTTCGGCTGCTCTGGCGCAGAGGATAGCGAGGCGCAACAACTCACGGAGCCGGCCTTCAGCAGCCCCTTGCCACCGGGGCCAGCGTCTCCCGCCCCGGTCCCTCGCCAGTCCCAGGCCCCCGACGGTAGCTCCCGCTGGGCCACCTACCTAGAGCTGCGGCCCCACGGGCCAAGTCCTGCCGCCCCAGCGCAGTTCGAGTGTGTGGAGGTGGCTGTGGAGGAGAGCGCCGGGCTCGTCAGGCCCCGGACGGTGCCCAAGCGTCAGATCGAGCTGCGCCCCCGGCCCCAGAGTCCCCTACGGGCGGCTGGCACGCCTCGTCCCCGGCTGCTCCTGCGCACCGGCTCCCTGGACGAGTCGCTGAGCTGCCTGCAGGCCGCCGCGGGCTTCGTGCAAACAGCGTTGGCCAGAAAACTGAGCCCGGAGGCCCCGGCCCTGAGCAGCAACACCTTCCGGCCCACGGGGCCGTCCGATCCTGCGACCCGGGAAACGGCGCGCAGCAGCCGCGTGGTCCTGGAAAAGGCTAAGTCTCGGCCACTTCGCGTACAAGATAATTTGGCCTCCGCCAAAGCCCCGAGGCCGTGGCCCAGCCTCCGCGAGCGCGCAATCCGGCGCGACAAGCCTGCTCCCGGGACCGAGCCTCTGGGTCCTGTTAGCTCCAGCATCTTCCTTCAGTCAGAGGAGAAGATCCAGGAGGCACGGAAGACTCGGGTCCCGAGAGAAACGCCGGATCGAACTGTCCAGAAGGCACGGAGTCCGCCTGTTGAGTGTAGGGTCCCCTCCGAGTTTCCAAGCAGGGCTGTGAGGCCAAGGAGCCCGTCCCCGCCATGGCAGGCTCCAAATGGGGTTGTACGGGGTCCTCGCTGCCCGTCCCCCCGGAACCTGTCCCCGTGGGATCGGACTACTCAGAGAGTGAGTAGCCCATCGTTCCCTGAAGCCTCCACCGCATGGGAAAATCAGAATCCCGCCGTCGAGGAAACTGTCAGCAGAAGCCCTTCCCCTCCGACCCTTTCCCAGTGGAATCAGTGTGTTGCAGGAGAAAGGGGTCCATCCCTCGAAGCCCCTTCCCGGTGGGAGATTCCACATTCGGCAGCTGGGGATGCGGTGGAGCCACGTAGCAGCCCGTCCCCGCGGGCCTTCTTGCCGTGGGAGGCGCCAGATCGTCCTATTGAAACTTGGAGCCCATCGCCCCAAGAGACGTGGGATCCGATGGATATCCGATCGATAGTATTTAGTCAGGAAGCTCAGAATGGGTTAACTCAGGAGGAGTTGGCACCACCTACACCGTCAGCACTGGGGACTCCAGAACCAACAGAGGTGCAGAGTCCATCCACGCGGGAGATTCCTGATCTTGCCTTTGGAGGCAGACAGCCTTCCCCAGAGGTGGCAGCACCTGAGCCGCCCGGCAGTCACCTTGTGGGCACCCTGGACTCCGATAAGTGCCCAGAAGTCTTGGGTCCTGGGGAAGCGGCCTCGGGACGCCCGCGCGTGGCCATTCCGCGGCCTCGAGACGTGCGCAAGTTGGTGAAGACCACGTAGGCGCCAAGCTTCCCGGCGGGAACCCCAGGCTCGGGGCTGCCTGCGCCTCCTGCAGACACCTGCGGGGAGGAGGGCGGCGAATCCAAGACCCAAGAGCTGCCGGCGCTGGGGCCCCCAGCCCCGGCTCACTACACTTCGGTTTTCATCAAGGACTTTCTACCGGTCGTGCCGCACCCCTACGAGCCTCCAGACCCGTCCTTCGACACGGTCCCCCGCGACGCTTCCCAGCCCAACGGGGTCCTGCGGCGGAGGGCAGAGAACAGCACCGCGAAGCCCTTCAAGCGCACAGAGATCCGCCTGCCTGGGGCCCTGGCCTTGGGTCGCCGGCCCGAGGTAACCCCGGGAGTGCGAGCGCGCGGCCCAGGCGGCGAGAACAGGGAAGCAGAGGCCCAGCGCCTCGTTCCCGACGGCGAAGGTCGGACGAGCCCCCTAGGCGGCGACCGCTGCTCATCCCAGCGCTCCCCCGTAGGGCCAGCAGGGGCCCCATCGCCCTGCCCCAGCTCCCCTCAGGTGCACCCCAGCCCGAGCCCTGGGATAGCACCCAAACCGAAGACACCACCTAAGGCCCCCGAGCCCGCGGCTCCGGTCCAGGCGCCACTCCCGCGGGAGCACCTGGCGACAGCTGGCAGGATGGCCCCCGCCCAGCCTCGCGCTGCCTCGGCACCTCCCACGGACCGGTCCCCGCAAAGCCCCTCCCAGGGAGCGCGCAGGCCGCCCGGGGCCGCGCCCCCAGGGAAGATCTTGGTGGACCCCGAGAGCGGCCGCTACTACTTTGTGGAGGCGCCGCGGCAGCCTCGGCTAAGGGTGCTCTTCGACCCCGAGAGTGGGCAGTATGTGGAGGTGCTGCTGCCGCCTTCATCTCCCGGGCTGCCCCACCGCGTCTACACCCCTCTGGCCCTGGGGCTGGGCGGCCTCTACCCGCCTGCCTATGGGCCTATCCCCAGCCTCTCCCTGCCACCGTCCCCGGGCCCGCAGGCCCTCGGCAGCCCCCAGCTACCGTGGGCCTCTGAGGCAGGGCCCCTGGACGGGACCTACTACCTGCCGGTGAGCGGGACCCCCAACCCTGCTCCTCCTCTGCTCCTCTGTGCGCCGCCCTCCAGCTCGCATCCTACTCAGCCCGGCAAGGCTCCTTGTTCCCGCTGTGAGGCCCCAGCCCGATACCCATGGAGTTGGAACCCTTAGATGGCCTGGGAGGTTCTGGAATTCAAGCCCCTACCCTCCTCTCCTTCCATCACCTGTCACTCTGTCTTTAACCCATCCCAGCCGGTCGTCTGACCGGAAGCGATCTTCAGAGAAGGAATCTGAGCCCCGAGGCTAGTGGAGCTGGAGCTCACCCAGGAAGCGGTTGCCTACTTCCTTCCCCAACAAAATTATGTATCCCTTTCCCAGGTATTCCCAGGGTGTGGTGTGGTGTGGTGTGTGGGTGTGTATATGTGTATGTGCAGGCAGGCAAATAGGGAAAGTGAGGCATCGCTGGCGCTTGTCCCCAGGAGCCAATCAGAGGAAGTGCTGTGGCTTCCCCGGGGCAGCAGGAACGGGAGCAGCAGGAGACAGGGAAGGGAACTGTCTGGCCTCCCTGGTGGCGGGCCCAGCTGAGGTGGGGCCGGCCAGTGCCCCTGGTGAGGCAGTGGTAAGGACTCTGGCTGTCAAATCTGCTCTTAGGAAGAGGAGCTGAGCTTTGGCCCTGGATGCTACCCGGGTGAAAGTGGCCAGTGCAGCCCCTGGTCCAGGCTGGCTCTGAGAAAGGGAGCTAAGGTGGTGGCAATAGGTGGAGGTGAAGCAAGGAAGTAATACAGGGAGGGCCTGGGGGAGGGGTGAGCCTGGAACTTGGGGTGGGAAGATGGGGAGCTTGGCCTTCGGGGTTGGGTGGCTTTTTTTTTGGGTTGGGTTGGGGTTTCTGCCCCCCCCCCCCCCTTGGGGGTTGGTTGAATTGTTCTTGGGAGGTTTTGGGAGGTTGGGGGTTGTTTGGGTTTTTTTCCCCCGGGGGCTTTTTGCCCTTTGTTTTGGTTGAAGGTTGGTTTGGGGTTGGCGTTGGAGTTGTTCCCCTTGTTGGGTTGGCCGGGGTGCCTTGAGGTTTTTGGCGGTTTCCTTCCCCCGTTACCGGTTTTGGCACTATTGCCCGGAGGGGGGGTTGGCCTTCCGGGCCGTTCCCGGCAGGGGCCGGGGCCCGGGTCTTGCCTTTCTTTTGCCTTGATTTCCGGGGGCTTTTGAGGGGGTTGAGGGGTTTTGCTTGGGTTGGGGGTTGTTTTTTTTGGGGTCTGTGTGTAGTTGTGAACTGGAAATGGCTGGCCCTTGCTAGCCTGGTGTGTGATGTGATGAGTTTGGGAAGGGCAGTTTCCATTAGAAGCAGTGGCAGGGATGGGGATGGATGCCTTTGTTGTTCCAGGCCTGTTGGGGGGCCCGTGTCCCTCGCAGTCCCTGCCTTCTGCCCTGGAGTGGAAGCTGACTAGGAGAACTATGTATCAGAACAACCTGGCCATTTTCTGGCTGAGATGCCAGCTCTGATGGCATGGAGGGCCCTGGGGGCCACCCCAGGTGCCTTACCTCACTGCGGTGTGTAATAAATCACTGACGATGGAGCCGTGATGACTGAAATAACTGGTGTGAGATGTCTGATTTCCTGCCACTGCCTCTCAACACCCTCCACAGTGCCCTTCCATGCCTGGGTATGGCCTGGGTGAAGGGGACCTCAGGGTTAGGGAAGGAGGCCATGTGTGTCTTTGAAACATTGCAGCATCCCTGTCTCCCTGAATTTGCCTCCCAGAAGGCTCACAGCCACACCTCATTCCTTCTGGTGGTTGAGTGCCAGGGGGCTCTGGGGTCAATCAGGCTTGGGTTTCTCAGCAGAGCCCCTCTAGCTATGTGGCCTTGGATTTGTCACCTCTCTGAGCCTTTGTGTCAGAAGGGGCAGAATAAACATGACAGTCTCATTTCTCAGAAACATCACTGAGACAAAAACAGATGACAGCAGTCAACCACTTCTTCCCACAAGGCACTCAGCACAGTGCCTGCCACTCAGCCAGATCACAGGATGTGGGAGGTATCAGCCCCCATGTGTTCCTGCCCAGGCCCAACCCCCCTCCTTGCCTCATTGCTCCCTATCTGTGAAATGGAGCTTAGATGGCTAGAGCCAGGGTCCAGCTAGAGGACATGTCCACGTGGCGTCTCCAGGGCCCTAGAGGAGGGAATGGGAGGGGAAGGGGAGGGGTGAGGTGTCAGTTCCCCATTGGTCTAGGCCAGGTGTTCTGTGGCGGTCCCCATACCATACAAGCACACACACATCTGCACGCCAGCCACAGACTGTACTTGCTGAGCTGGCTCCTGGGGCCATGAGGCTGTCATTGTCACTGCTGCTGCTGCTGTTCGGAGCCTGGGCCATCCCAGGGGGACTCGGGGACAGGGCCCCACTCACAGCCACTGCCCCACAACTGGACGATGAGGAGAAGTACTCAACCCACATGCCCTCTCACCTGCGCTGTGATGCCTGCAGAGCTGTGGCTTACCAGGTGAGTCCTTCACCACTGTCACCTTGCCCTGCCACACCCCTTCTCATGCCAGACCCTTCCATCCACCTCACATTCCACCACCAGCCTTTGATCCCCAATCCCCACCACTGGCATCAAGCCACAGACACAGCCTTTCATTATATTCCATGCCTCAGTTTACCCATCTGCCCACCTAACAGGGAGCAAACAATCTGGGACACGTCCATAGTATCTTGAGACCACAGGGAATCACTCACTTGCCCTTGGACTTCTCCCTTTCCAGGCCCATCCTTGGGTCTGGACTCCCTCTCCAGACCTAACAGGGCGGCTTTGGCTATGTCTACATGGTGCACATGCACACATGTGAGTGCCTGCATGTGAGTATTCGTGTGTCTGGGTCCACACACACCTCTTCTGAGCATGCCTGCATGCCAGTGTCTCTGTGGGGTGGGGGGCCTGGGAGTACAGGTGCTATTGAAGATTGGGCTGTAGTTTTTCTTTCCTTGTTCTTGTGGTTTAAAATGCATGTGGCCGGGCGCGGTGGCTCACGCCTGTAATCCCAGTACTTTGAGAGGCCGAGGTGGGTGGATCACAAGGTCAGGAGTTCGAGACCAGCCTGAACAACATGGTGAAATCTCGTCTCTACTAAAAATACAAAAATTAGCTGGGTGTGGTGGCACATGCCTGTAATCCCAGCTACTCAGGAGGCTGAGGCAGGAGAATTGCCTGAACCTGGGAGGCAGAGGTTGCAGTGAGCCAAGATCATGCCACTGCACTCCAGCCTGGGTAACAGAGTGAGACTTCATCTCAAAAAACAAAAAAAAAGGCATGTGCCGGCTGGGCGAGGTGGCTCACACCTGTAATCCCAGCACTTTGGGAAGCTGAGGTGGGTGGATCATCTGAGGTCAGGAGTTTGTGACCAGCCTAGCCAACATGATGAAACCCTGTCTCTACTAAAAAGTTACAATAAATTAGCCAGGTGTGGTGGCACACACTTGTAGTCTCAGCTACTCAGGAAGCTGAGGGAGGAGAATCGCTTGAACCTGGGAGGCAGAGGGTACAGTGAGCCAAGATCGAACCACTGCACTCCAGTCTGGGTGATGGATGGTGTGAGACTCTGTCCCAAATAAATAAATTAATTAATAAAATAAAATGGCACGTGCCACTGGGCAGATGTGGCCTGGAGGAGGGGCCCCAGTGTCCAGGCCTCACCTATCATTTCAGCATTTCCTCCCCATCCCCCACCCCAATCCCAGGGAGCTTTGGGGGCGGGGGCAGGGCAGTGCAGCGGCCTCACAGGTGCTTCCTGCTCAAACGGCTCCCTTGCTGCCTCATTCTCCCCAGAGACTCAGCTCGTATCCTCCCCACCTCCCCCTAACTGAGCAGCAGTCCTGAGGCCCTGGCTCCCACTCCCTCCTTGCTCCAGATGTGGCAAAATCTAGCAAAGGCAGAGACCAAACTTCATTCCCCAAACTCTGGGGGGCAGCGGGAGCTGAGCGAGTCTGTCTACCTGGATGTCCTGGACCGGAGCTGCTCTCGGAACTGGCAGGAGTGAGTTGCCAATTCTGCCTCCACCTCCCTCCTCCAAGGTCAGAGCTAGTGGGTGGAGATTCCCACTCACCCACTACACCATAGGACTCTGGTCCAAGAGAGGGTCTGGCTGGGATGAAGTCTGGGCTCTGGAGCTGAGAGCAAGTGGGTGGGAGAGCAGGTAGCCAGCAGACAGTGGCCTTGGGCCAAAGGCTTTCCCTCTCTGAATTCTGCAAACGCCCAGCGTGTCCAGCTTGGTGTGGAGATGAGTCTCTCCTTGCCAAAGCTGTATTCTTCTTCTCCCCACTGCCACCAGCTACGGAGTTCGAGAAGTGGACCACGTGAAACACCTCACAGGCCCAGGACTTAGCAAGGGGCAAGAGCCAAGCATCAGCGTGATGGTCACAGGGGGCCCCTGGCCCACCAGGTGATGCCTGGGGTTTGGGGAATAGAATGAAGCTTCTGAAGCCTTGGTTTGCCCCACTGTGGGCTGGGCAGTGTCTGAGCCTCCTGCTGGGTTCCCCTAGGCTCTCCAGGACCTGTTTTCACTACTTGGGGGAGTTTGGAGAAGAGCAGATCTATGAAGCCCACCAACAAGGCCGAGGGGCTCTGGAGGCATTGCTGTGTGGGGGACCCCACAGGGCTTGCTCGGAGGAGGTGTCAAACACAAGAGAAGAACTCTAGTCCCAGAGTGTGCCTTCCTCTGAAGGAAGCTGGGCTTGCTCTGAAGGTCTCCACTCCCTGTCTGCAGGCGGCCAGGAGGGCAGGAAAGCCTTGCTCTGTGCTGCCACCCTGCCTCCCTCCTCTAGCTTCAGGGCACTGGGGCCTGGGTGGGAGCCAAGGCCTTCCCCTCTGGACTCAAATAAAACCCAGTGACCTCACTTCTTCTCTCTGCAAAAGGTGCTTGGAGGGCTGGGAGTACAGACATTGGTATTTCTGCTGATAGCCTTTCTGAGAAAAAAAAAAAAACACTCGCAAATTTTTTTTGAGACAGAGTCTCATTCTGTCACCCAGGCTGGACTGTGGTGGGGTGACCTCGGATTGCTACAACCTCAGCCTCCTGGGTTCAAGCAAGTCTCCTGTCTCAGCCTCCCAAGTAGCTGGGATTACAGGCATCCAGCACCCACCATCATGCCCAGCTAAGTTTTGTATTTTTAGTAGAGACGGGGTTTCATAATGTTGGCCAGGCTGGTCTTGAACTCCTGACATCAGGTGATCCGCCTACCTTGGCCTCCCAAAGTGATGAGATTCCAGGCATGAGCCACTGGGCCCGGCCTTCAAAATGCTTTTCCTATTCGAACACACAACAACACAGAAAACAGCTGTGACCAAATGTGTGGTGCTTTCCCCACACAAACCAGGCAAGCAGTTTTGCAGCCGACACCAGCTGGGTGCCCTCCAAAATTCAATTCTGACACTATTTACCTGGAGACAGCGGCAGAGCCACAGGCTGAGGGCTCAGTCCCCCGTTCTGCCCCCATTCAGATGCCAGTTCCAGGTCCAGGCCTCTGGATCTTCTGGCCTACTGGCTTCAAGATGAGGTTCCCACAGCCGCCTCTTGGAGTTAAACTAATTTGCTAGAGTGGCTCATAGAGCTCAGAGAAAAATGTTTACCAGTTTCTGATAAAGGATGTTACAAAGGATACAGATGAAGAGATGCTCAGGGCAAGGTATGGGGAATGGGCTCGGAGCTGCCCTCAATTGATGCATCACCCTCCAGGAATCTCCACGTGTTCAGTATCCAGAAGCTTTCTGAACCCTGTCCTTTTGAGTTTCTGTGGAGAATTCATTACACAGGCATGACTGATTAAGCCATTGGCCACTGGTGAACAACTTACACTCCAGCCTGTCTGCCCTCCCTTGGCGAGGGTGGGATGGGGGGCTGAAATCCTGCCTTGGTTTCTCTGGTGACCAGCCCCTGTCCTGAAGCTACCCTAGGGGCTGCCAGCCATCAGTCAATCATTAACACACAAAAAGACGTCACTTTGGGGATTTTAAGATTTTTTAAATTATACTCCAGGAAATGAGGTCAAAGACCAAATATATATTTCACAATATTACATCCCTCCTACAGCAGGCCAAATATACATCCCTACAAATTCCAGAGGTAAGAGAGAGCCGTCAATCGCGTGGTGTTGTAGCTGTCTAAGGGGTTCCCCTTGCCCACAGCCTAGACAGAGCCTATTTCTCAAGATGGGGGAATTGCAATAAAGAGTAATCCATGCAGAGCTGGCTCTACAGGAGTCTACTTTTATTACTCAAATCAGTCTCCCCGACCATTTGGGGAGCAGTTTGTAAGGGCAACTTGGTGGATGGCAGGGAAGCCAGTGAGCCAGGAGTGCTGATTGGTCAGGAATGAAATCACAGGGAGTCAGAGCTGTCTCCTTGTGCTGAGTCAGTTCCTAGGTGGGAGCCACAAGATCGATCTGGGCGGTGCCAGCTGATCCATCAAGTGCAGGGTCTGCAAAGTGTCTCAAGCACTGATCTTAGGAGCAGTTTAGAGAGGGTCAGAATCTTGTAGCCTCTAGCTGCATGACTCCTAAACCATCATTTCTAATCTTGTGGCTAATAGTCCTACAAAAGCAATCCAGTCCCCAGGCGAGAAGGAGATCTGCTTTGAGAAATGGCTGTTCTTGTCTTTGTTTTAAACTATAAAGGAAAAACTAAGTTTCTCCCACGGTGAGTTCAGCCTTCACACAGGAATGAAGAAGCACAGGTTGGAGGTTAGAAGCAAGATGGAGCTGATTAAATTAGATCTCTTTCACTGTCTCAATCATAATTTTGCAAAGGCGGTTTCAGTGACATCCCAGGTCTTCAGAGCCATCATGAGAAATGAGAACCAAGGAAAACTGCACGCAGGCCGCCTTGTGGCACACCTACTCCAGCCACGCCATGCTGTCTGCGCCTCCCAGAGCACACAGCTCACCGGGTCTACACTCAGTAGCTGTTCACTTTCCACACTCTGCCTTTGACGCCAGCTGGTATGGTTGGGCCCTGGGTTTTTGACCAGCCAGATTCAACATTTTCGTTCTCAGTGCTGCTTTCCCTGGACATTCTTCTGGCTGGGGCCTTTTCCTTAGTAAAGGAGCCCTGGGCCCCGCCCAGGTCTGGGAACTATAGATCGGTGACACCAGGACTTTCAGCTACCTTTGTGAGTGTCCCTGATCTGCCCAAGCCCTCAGAGGAAAGACAGAACATTCTAATCCCTATTTTTAGAAATACTTTTATGGGCTGGGCACAGTGGCTCTCCCCTGTAATCCCAACACTTTGGGAGGCCGAGGTGGATGGATCATGAGGTCAGGAGTAGGAGACCAGCCTGGCCAACATGGTGAAACCCTGTCCCTACTAAAAATACAAAAATTAGTTGGGCGTGGTAGTGGGTGCCTATAATCCCAGGTACTCAGGAGGCCGAGGCAGGACAATAGCTTTAATCCGGGAAACGGAGGTTGCAGTGAGCCGAGATCATGCCACTGCACTCCAGCCTGTCAACACAGCGAGTCTTTGTCTTTTTTTTTTTTTTTTTTTTTTTTTTTTTTTTTTTTTTTTTTTTTTGACAGTGTTTCACTCATGTTACCCAGGCTGGAGTGCAATGGCACAATCTCGGCTCACCGCAACCTCCGCCTCCTGGGTTCAGGCAATTCTCCTGCCTCAGCCTCCTGAGTAGCTGGGATTACAGGCACGCACCACCATGCCCAGCTAATTTTTTTGTATTTTTAGTAGAGACGGGGTTTCACCATGTTGACCAGGATGGTCTCGATCTCTTGACCTCGTGATCCACCCGCCTCGGCCTCCCAAAGTGCTGGGATTACAGGCTTGAGCCACCGCGCCCGGCCGAGTCTTTGTCTTAAAAAAAAAAAACAACTTTCATTTTGCACATGAGCCATGTGTAGGAAGACAATCTAATCCCCCTTTGACAGATGCAGAAACCAAAACTTAGACAACAGAAGAGGTTCAGGCCAAGTCTCAGGCTAAGTAGTAGCGGGCTGGGAGGGGATTCAGACTTAGGGGACAGGGAGGTAGGCTGTGGGGGGAATGGAGGTGCCTGGGCAGGCCCTGGCCACTTGAGCTTTCCTGGGAGCTACACTCAGCCCCTTCCATCCTTTACCTGTTCCAGGACCTGCCTGAAGCCCCATCTTCCCTGGCCTTTACTCAGGCGAGAACCCCTAGACACCAGGAGGAGAGTCAGGGCCCAAGAAACCCCCTAAGCTGTCAGTAGGACCGGGTGTGGAGCCAGGCCTCCATGACGTGGACCTGTGTTTCTGTGGGCTGATAAGAGGCCGCATCAGATCTGGGTGTGTGGGCCCCTTCATGCTACTGTGGATCTGGGACCTTGCTCTCCACCTCGTTCTCTATGTGTGTTATGTGGTTTGGGTTGAATTGAGTGTCCATGGAGCTGTGTGTGCAAGGGGTGGGGCTTGGTCTCCACAGCCCCCTGGGGAGTTCTGGGAGGAGAGGGTGGAGAGGAAAGTGCTGGGGAGTTGCAGAGGCTTCAAACTGGTCCAGCAACTTTGGAAATCTGGGAGCAGGAGCCAAGAGGGAGAGAAGAGGACAGGTGGACAAAGGAAGTGTGGACGCCGGACACACAGGCAGACTCAGGGCTGTGACATGAAGCTGCTGCCCAGCTGGAGAGTGATGCTGCCCCTGGACCCTTCGGGCAGGGCCTGGCCATGGGCACAGCGACTCAGAAGTAGGTGAACCCTAGAGTGCTGGAGCTGGGGCAGCCCAGAGGGGAACAGAATGGGAACCTCAGGCCCGGCCCTCACCAGCTGAGGAGACTGAGCTCTTAGCACCCCCACCCCACGTCCCCCTCTGCCATCCTCAGGCCCTAGGGCCAGGCTAGGCTGGGCCTGCCAGGAGGGGAGACGGGCTGGGCACAGGACTACCTTCCTGGGCTGGGAAGGGCAGCCACACAGGGCCCGGTGCGTAGAAAGTCCCTACACTCCATCCAATGCTCTGCTGTGGCTGTCTTTAAATTCTTTATACTTTTGGAACAAAGGCCCCACATTCTTACTTTGCACTGGGTCCCAGAAATTATGTGGCTGGGAGGGGAAAGGGATCGGTGTCCTGACCCAGGGTGCAGGCCAGGCCGGGCCAGCCTAGGCAGCTCCACCTGCAGGGGCTCATCTGCTGCCTGCCTCAGGGACCCTGAGGGGTGCAGGGTGATGGGGGTAAGGCAGCTCAGACCAACTTGAATTTTAGGATTGATCTCTGCAAGCTTGCTATCTGCTTGGCTTGGGTCAAATCACATCTACTGAATCTGTTTCCTCTGCTATGAAAGGGGTGAATACCGCCCAGCAGAGGGCTACTCGGGACAGTGCATATCCATGTTTCTTGGCACAAGGTCATTCCTCAATAACGAGAATGACTGTGATGATGATGATAATAATTAATCGGTTACTAAAAAGTGGGGAAGGGGCCAGGTGCGGTGGCTCATGCCTGTAATCCCAGCACTTTGGGAGCCCGAAATGGGCAGATCACCTGAAGGTCAGGAGTTCGAGACCAGCCTGACCAACATGGAGAAACCCTGACTCTACTAAAAATACAAAATTAGCTGGGTGTGGTGGCACATGCCTGTAATCCCAGCTACTCGGGAGGCTGAGGCAAGAGAATTGCTTAAACCGGGGGGCAGAGGTTGCAGTGAGCCGAGATCGCGCCACTGCACTCCAGCCTGGGCAACAAGAGTGAGACTCTGTCTCAAAAAAATAAAAAAATAAATAAGTGAGGAAGGGCCTTATACGGGGTGTTACATAATAAATGCTGGTTTCCACTCCCTCTTCTCTCCCCTCACCTGGGGCCTGGTAAACTTCCGGTCCTCACCCCTCGACTCGACTCTGGCCCTCTCTTGGAAAACAAGAACAGGTCCGGCACCCAGGCACAGATGCAGGCAGGGAAGAACACATGTGGCAGAGGCTTGGGTGGCCTTTACCACTCTAGCGAAAGTTAATACGTTACCTTTGCACGGGCCCCCCTTTCGCAATCCGGAGCTGGGCATCTGGTTACAGATTTACTTCGAACAATGCCTGATATGTGGAGTAAAGTCCTCCTCCTTGGCTTTCGTAAAGTCATCCCCTCTTCTCCTCAGGAACAGCTCAAACCTGTGCCCCAGAGATGAGGGCCCAGGAGGACCCCGAGGGCCGGACACAGGTGCTGGGGACTGGGGGTGGGGGGGTGGGGGTGGGAGGGCCTGTGCAGGCCTTCTCCCTGGAGGCCAGAGATAAATGTTCTGATGAACTCAATAAAGAGTGACTTGCCCAAACTGAATGTGGCAAGTGGGGGATGGGTGGACGTGGGTGTAAAGGAGGCATCAGCTTTGGGACTGGCTGACTCAGGTTGGGGCTCAGGAGGGGCCTAACCTCCCCTCCAGTGACATCCTTAGGATCTCCAGGGGGAAGAAGTGGGACCAAGTTGGGCTTGTCCACAGTCTCGAGCCCTCTCAGCCCCCTCTCCTGTGGTCCCCAAGACTTCTGACTTAGGGGTCCATTTCCCTGGCTAGAATGCCAGGTCCCGAGGGCTCTGGAAGCCGGCACAGTAGACTCATCCCTGCAGGAAGCAATGTGAAGGGGGAGTCAACTGTGGCCAGACCGACCGAGTGGCAGCCAGGTGTATGGACTGCTGGGGAGGGCAGGGACCCCACTCTCAGTTGCTGACTGGCCACTTGGGCTACCTGATGGATCCAGGGCAGAATGGATTTTTGCCCGTCCCCATTACTCCACCCTAAGCTACTTCTCTCTGCTGCCCCCAGCATGAATCCACCAGGGACCCCCCGATGCCCCTACCCACAGAGCCCAAGTTTGACATGTTGTATAAGATCGAGGACGTGCCACCTTGGTACCTGTGCATCCTGCTGGGCTTCCAGGTGGGTCCCCAGGGCCTCCCTGCCCTCACTCTGTGCACTTCCCAGGGCCTCCAGCCCCTCCCTGGCCAGCAGGGAGCATCTTGGGTAACAGGAAGAGAAAACTGAGGTCAGCACAGTGGCTGTCAGCAGGCAGGGCTGGGGAAGAGGCCGGGTCCTGAGAGAAGATGAACTCCCTGGGGGCGTGTGATGCTTGCCAGGTGGAGTGTTGGTGACAGAGAGCAGAGCCCACTCCACAGAAGCCGCAGGAATAACTTGAGCAGAGATTAGTAATCCCAGAGTGGTGAGCAGTAGCTCTCTGGGAATCCCTTGTGGGACTGCCAGTACTAGGCGGACAGCGCAGGTCCAGGCTTGCTGATGCAGGCGTGAGGACACTAGGTTGTCCCCTCTCCCTGGAGCTCTGGGGTCCTGTCTTATGCACTCTGCTCCCTCCCTCTGCCCAGCACTACCTGACATGCTTCAGTGGCACCATCGCTGTGCCCTTCCTGCTGGCCGAGGCGCTGTGTGTGGGCCATGACCAACACATGGTCAGTCAGCTCATTGGCACCATCTTCACGTGCGTGGGCATCACCACTCTCATCCAGACCACCCTGGGCATCCGGTGAGCTGCCCAGCCCCTCCCCCACCCCTCCACTGTGATCCACACAGCAGGAGCAGGTGGTCTCCCAGAGGATACCGGTGAGACAAAAAAGCCGCTGTCTACCTCCACGGCTATTGCGCCCTGCTTCTCCTATCCCAGGCAAGCCTTAGAGCAAGGCCTTGACCCTGGGCACCTTGATCTAGGTGCACTTCAAAGACCAGGCATCTGTGGGTTTAAGGGAATGTGCCCTCACTGGCTCTCCCCTTTTTTTTTTTTTTTTTGAGTCAGAGTTTCACTCTTGTTGCCTAGGCTGGAGTGCAATGGTGCAATCTTGGCTCACTGCAACCTCAGCCTCCTGGGTTCAAGTGATTCTCCTGCGTCAGCCTCCCAAGTGGCTGGGATTACAGGCATGCACCATCACTCCCGGCTAATTTTGTATTTTTAGTAGAGACGGGGTTGCTCCATGTTGGTCAGGCTGGTCTCGAACTCCTGACCTCAGGTGATCCACCCATCTTGGCCTCCCAAAGTGCTGGGATTACAGGTGTGAGCCACAGCATCCAGCTGGCTCTCACCTCTTAAGGCCTATTCTGAATACTGCCCAAATGGCAGCACTGAGCTGGCTCCCAAGGCCGGTGCTGGCCTCTTCAATAGCCCACCCTTCTGGGGCCCCACGCCCCGAGTGCAAAGCCCTAGGCCTGGTGGCATTTGAGCTGTTTGGGCAGTGGGAGGCAGGGGAAGATTGTGTGAGGAGCTTGGATTCGAGACCTGAGCTGTCCACTTCCAGCCATGTGCTCTCTCCTCACAGTGCAGGAGCTGGCAGGAGGAAGGAAAGGGGGCAAGTTTTGAGCTGGGGGCTCCATTTGTTTTCTTCCTTGGGCCACCAAAATGTTAGAGATGGTCTTCCCTGGGGCTCAACAATTTCCATGTGCCCTTGTCCCTCGTGTCTCTGTCCCTCTTTTTGTGCCCACCTTTCCCGATCTCCCTACAACTATATCCACCCCCTGCCCAACCCCACCCCTACCTCCCCTGTTGCTCTTGCTTCTCCTCCAGGCTGCCTCTGTTCCAGGCCAGTGCCTTTGCATTTCTGGTTCCAGCCAAAGCCATATTGGCTCTGGAGAGATGGAAATGCCCTCCGGAAGGTGGGTACACTTCTGGGGACTGCACAGGGGAAAAGGGGAGGTCTAGAGACCTGGAGATCTGAGCCTGTCCTGGGTCCAGACACCAGAATGCAGCCATGGCAGCATCTTCTCTCCCTCTGTCTCTGTACCTGGTTCTTATGTGTGTCCCTGACTCAACCCCCAGAGGAGATCTACGGTAACTGGAGTCTGCCCCTGAATACCTCTCATATCTGGCACCCACGGATACGGGAGGTGGGTTTGCATGTAAGAGTGAAAGAGGCTGGGTCCCGAGGAGGGGCTATATGGGAGTGAGGGTGGCCGCTGAGTTTGGGGATTTGAGGAGGTGGTCCAGGAGCTTTGATCCTGCTAGCTGCCAGGTTATGACCTTTACATGGTGACTTACAGCTGATGTTTGCCCTTCCAGGTCCAGGGTGCAATCATGGTGTCCAGCGTGGTGGAGGTGGTGATTGGCCTGCTGGGGCTGCCTGGGGCCCTGCTCAACTACATTGGGCCTCTCACGGTCACCCCCACTGTCTCCCTCATTGGCCTCTCTGTCTTCCAAGCTGCTGGCGACCGAGCTGGCTCCCACTGGGGCATCTCAGCTTGGTGAGCAGGCACCAGGCCTGATCCCTCCCCAGCCCCAGCACCCCACCCTCTTCATGTCCTTTGTCCTGGCTCCTGGCCCCAGCCTGGCCTACCATCCACTTCCTGATTGTGCCTCTGCCCCCAGCTCTATTCTCCTGATCATCCTCTTCTCCCAGTACCTGCGCAACCTCACCTTCCTGCTGCCTGTCTACCGATGGGGCAAGGGCCTCACTGTCCTCCGCATCCAGATCTTCAAAATGTTTCCTGTGAGGACCTGGCAGGCGGCTGGGGCTGGGACTATGGCCAGGACTCTGGCTGAGGTGGGAGCTGGTTAGCCTGGATCGACTGAGAACTCCAGTGCCTTCAGTGCCCCCTCACCCCCTGCTTCAGATCATGCTGGCCATCATGACCGTGTGGCTGCTCTGCTATGTCCTGACCTTGACGGACGTGCTGCCCACAGACCCAAAAGCCTATGGCTTCCAGGCACGAACTGATGCCCGTGGTGATGTCATGGCTATTGCGCCCTGGATCCGAATCCCCTACCCCTGTGAGCAACACCCCTTGGCCCCTCTGCCCCCAACTGAGACCACCTATGAGACAGACCCCTGGTGACTACAATCCAGCAGGTGACACACCTAGCATTAGCTGCACATTTATAGTGCGCCCAGTAGAGTGGTGTTTTACTTAGACAAATCTTCAGTCCCACTTCCTGAGTCTGAGTGACCCAAATAAGCTCCCACAACTGTACGGCTCCCATCCCAGTTCAAGGTCCCCTGACCTGCCCTTGCGCCCTCCAGCACTGCGCTGTCTATTCCTGACCATCACAGTCTCCTCACTGTAACTACCCTTCTGCCTCCCTCCGGCACAGGTCAGTGGGGCCTGCCCACAGTAACTGCGGCTGCTGTCCTGGGAATGTTCAGTGCCACTCTAGCAGGCATCATTGAGTCCATCGGAGATTACTACGCCTGTGCGCGCCTGGCTGGTGCCCCACCCCCTCCAGTACATTCTATCAACAGGTAGCCTACCTGCCCTCCTCAGTATCTGATCTCCTCAGGACCCCCACAAGGAAGCACACACAAGGAACGGGGTGGAGGCCCAGGGGGTAGGTTTGGGCAAGTCGGGAACACGCTCCAGACCTCATTGCGCATGCGATGGGAGTGCCCTCTCATCACCCTCTGTGTGGTTGCTGTGAGTAGCTGAGTAGATAGCAGGGTCCGAGGGGAACCACCGTCATTGACAGCCCTCCTTGTGCCCGGCTCTAGCTGTGCATTCTTATGCAATCTGTCAAGCATTTGTGAGACGTGCACCAGCATTTATCCCCATTTTACAGAGGAGGAAATTGAAGGCCAGAATTGCCCACAGGAGTAGGTGCGGGGGTCAGGGGGAACACAGGCTGGACCGAATTTCCGGGACTCACCCTTTCCTTACAGAGGCATCTTCACCGAAGGCATTTGCTGCATCATCGCGGGGCTATTGGGCACGGGCAACGGGTCCACCTCCTCCAGTCCCAACATTGGCGTCCTGGGGATTACCAAGGTGTCGCGACGAGCCGGAGCAGCGCCAAGTCCCGCCCTAATTCCTTGGGCTGCAGGCCCCGCCCCAACCCGGTCCCAAGTTTGGTTTAGCCCCACCCTGTCTTTGAGGGGCCTCGCCCCCGCATGAAGCCCCAGCCGGTTTTTCCTAGCTCTTATAACAGACCCCGCCCCCGGAACTAACCCCGCCCCAGCCTCGCCCCCAGGTCTAGCTCCGCCCCTGGCTCCCTGGCAGGTGGGCAGCCGGCGCGTGGTGCAGTACGGTGCAGTTATCATGCTGGTCCTGGGCACTGTCGGCAAGTTCACGGCCCTCTTCGCCTCGCTCCCTGACCCCATCCTGGGGGGCATGTTCTGCACTCTCTTTGGTGAGTGTCTGGCGCGGGCCCTGAAGCGCGGCGCGGGTCGCCGAGTGGTGGGGACCCGCGTGGACTGCGCGTGCGCGGCGCTCCAGCGGTTCTCCTGCGCCCTTAGGCATGATTACAGCTGTGGGGCTGTCCAACCTGCAGTTCGTGGACATGAACTCCTCTCGCAACCTCTTCGTGCTCGGATTTTCCATGTTCTTCGGGCTCACGCTGCCCAGTTACCTGGAGTCGAACCCTGGCGCCATCAATACAGGTGCCTCCTGGTGTTTACTGTCTCCAAAGGTGGGGTGGGCCCAAAACTTTTGAGCACAGCCTCCTCCCTCAAAGGCTCCACACGGCTGGAGCCACAAATTCTGCCCAACTCTGGATGTGAATCAACAGCTGAGAGGCTGGGTCACAGCTGCCCTTTACTAAGACACTTCCTGTGGACAGATATTGAGCTTTACATGTGCTCATTTAATTTTCAAAACAGTCCTATTTATCTATTCATCTATATTTATTATTTATCCATTATCATTTCAACTTTACAGATGAGGAAAATGAGGCTTAGAGAGGTTCAGTGACTTGTCCCAAGTCAACAACTGGCAAGCAACTGGCAGAATTGGGATTTGAACCCAGAGATAGGAAAGACAGAGGCACAGATAGGTTTGAGACAGGGATTTGTACTGTTCCTTTGCCATGGCTGCACAAGAGAAAGCCCCTGAACTCTGATCTCCAGATTGGACCATGATACCCATTGGCCCTTGGCCTATTCCGCAGGCATTCTTGAAGTGGATCAGATTCTGACGGTGCTGCTGACCACGGAGATGTTTGTGGGCGGGTGCCTTGCTTTCATACTTGACAACACAGTGCCAGGTATGGTTCCGTCCTGGAAGGGGAATGAAAAACTAGGCTGAACTCATGCACTCCAACAGATGGCCTCTAAGCTGGAGCTGTGGCTAGGTCCCAGGCGATGCAGGCCTTGCAGGAACAGGTAAGCTGGTGGAGTGCCCACAGGCTAGAGGGAGAGAATGAGGCACAGACATGCCTCAGAGGTCTTGGAAGAGGATGGGGCCAGGAGAGTCACTGCTGAGTCCTATGAATCCTTTCCTCTCCATTTCTTCCATTTCTTTCTTTTTTTCTTTTTGGGACGGAGTCTCACCCTGTTGCCCAGGCTGGAGTACAGTGGTGCAATCTCAGCTCACTGCAACCTCCTCCTCCCAGGTTCAAGTGATTCTTCTGCCTCAGCCTCCCGAGTGGCAGGGACTACAGGTGCATGCCACCATGCCCAGCTAATTTTCATTATTTTTAGTAGAGATGGGGTTTCACCATGTTGGCCAGGCTGATCTTGAACTCCTGACTTCAAGTGATCCACCTGTCTCGGCCTCCCAAAGTGCTGGGATTACAGGCATGAGGCACTGCACCTGGCCTTTTTTTTTTTTTTTTTTTTGAGATGGAGTTTCGCTCTTGTTGCCCAGGCTGGACTACAATGGCGCAATCTTGGTCACTGCAACCTCTGCCTCCTGGGTTCAAGCGATTCTCCTGCCTCAGACTCCTGTGTAGCTGGGATTACAGGCATGTGCCACCATGCCCTGCTAATTTTGTATTTTTAGTAGAGATGGGGTTTCACCATGTTGGTCAGGCTGGTCTTGAACTTCCAACCTCAGGTGATCCGCCCGGCTTGGCCTTCCAAAGTGCTGGGATTACAGGCGTGAGCCACTGTGCCTGACATCTATTTTCTAACAGCCACTGGGCTGAGGGGTATATTTGCTTTCTTAAGAGCCGGACAGAGATAAATGCAGCATCAGTTTATTAGCAAAATCCATCCACTCCAAATATGTCACAATGGCGACTAGAAGAGCCACCATTTCCCTCTGGTACCAGAGCTTTTTGCAAAGATAGAGGATACTTTGTGGGGCCCACATAAAGGTGCCAGTAAATGTATAAAATAAATGTCACCAGTGCTCTGATAACAAACAGTTAACATTTACCAAGCATCTACTATAGGTCAGACAGAGCAAAGTGTCTTACTTCATCCTCAAAAACTATGACCACGAAGTCATAGTCACAAAATTAAAACATCACAAATCTGGGATACATATTTTAATTGAGACAGGGTCTCAGTCTGTCACCCATACTGGAGTGCAGTGGCACAATCATAGCTCACTACAGCCTCAAACTCCTGGGCTTAAGCTCCTCCTGCCTTAGCCTCCCAAGTAGTTGGGACTACTGGTGCATGCCACCATGCCCAGCTAAGTTTTAAATTTTTTGTAGAGATGGGGTCTCACTTTATTGCCAAGGTTGGTCTCAAACTCCTGGCTCAAGTGATCCTCCAGCCTCAGCATCCCAAAGTACTGGGATTATAGGTGTGAGCCACCACAACTGGCCTCTTCTCTCTCTCTCCTCTGTGGAGAGAGGATATACACACACACACACACACACACACACACACACACATATATACACATACACTTTTGACGGAGTTTTGCTCTTGTTGCTCAGGCTGGAGTGCAATGGTGCTATCTTAGCTCACAGCAACCTCCGCCTCTCGGGCTCAAGCCATTCTCCCATCTCAGCCTCCCGAGTGGCTGGGATTACAGGCATGTGCCACCACACCCGGCTAGTTTTGTATTTTTAGTAGAGACAGGGTTGCTCCATGTTGGTCAGGCTGGTCTCGAACTCCCGACCTCAGGTGATCTGCCTGCCTCAGCCTCCCTCTCCCAAAGTGGGAAGGACAGAGGAGGGCCAGGGTTCCCCAAAGGATTTTAGGCAGAATCAAAGGAGGTGCTCTTGGTAGCTGCTGTCCTGTGGGTGGATGGGTGGGTATTTGAACATGGTACTCACCCCTCCTCATTTAAAGGATGCTGAACTGGGGGCTGGAACAGACCATCCTATGGCCCTGAGACAGTCAAGTGGCAGCCTCAATGCCTAGGGAATATGAGGAGATGGAGAGCATCTGGGTAGAGGTGCCTGTATATAAAGAGGCTTCTTTGTGGCTTGGGTAGCTAGACTGAGCTATCCAGTCTTCTTTAAAGACAGCTGCAGAACTGCTTGAGTCCCTCACACCCCACCGTTCAATCCATCTGAGCATCATAACCGTCCCTGCCAGGAATCACCCTGTGTGTCATGCCACATAAGCTCAGCAGTGTACACTGAGGAACCTAAAGCTCAAGGAGGTTAAGTCACTTGCCTAAGGTCACACAACCTGGATTCATACCAAGGTCTAGCTGTTTCAAAACCCCATCCTTAACCATGGAATAGCAAAAGCCTTTCTCAGTCCTTAACTTCCTGTTGGGGATGGGCCACTTTGCATTTGCCCTTTCTCTTTACCTATCCATAGCCAAACCTTAGAGGGCAGTCCATTTAGTTCAGCAAATGCTGCCAGAGCTTACCAGCTTAGCCTGGAATCAGACACTGAAGAGGATATTCCAAAAAGTGTAAGTCATTAACAATTTGTTTAGAGGAGCTCCTGGCACAAGATAGGTAGGTGGTAAAACTGGATTTAAGTGCACAATGAAGCCAGTGAAGCTGGGCTGGAGTTATTGGCAGGGTTTCCTGATGAGGGAGAGGAGGTAAGGCCTAGGAAAAAGAAGGGGGCTTGGAGAAGTAGAGAAGGCACTGAAGGTCGGGTTGTAGTGGGCAGGCTAACTGGTTGGCTAGAGAAAGCTCTGGGCTGGCTGCCCATGTGTGTTTTGGCAGTGGTGTAAGGTAATCAGATGCCAGGAATATAGTCCTATGTGACCCATCCCACTCTACTCTGCCCACCTGTGTGTGCCTTTTGTACAGCCAAGCCCAAAGTGTCTCTTCCAGGTAGTCTCTTCCAGGAAGGTGGAGGACTCCACCTTCCCTCGGTGCCCTCTCCTGTGAGATTCTGGAACATGAGTTGGTTTGTGTTACTCATGGGGTTGTTCTCGGCCTGGGGTGCCAGCATGTGGACATCTCCACTCCTTCTGCTATATTTACAGTATTTCAGTCTTTGTCGATCCCAGCCCTCTTATGAAAACCTGAGATCTCATGTGCCCCTCCCCGACCTGAGGAAGAATTCCTAGTTGTAAAAATTATTGGCCCCCAGGTGTAATGGCTCATGCCTGTAATCCCAGGACTTTGGGAGACCAAGGTGGGTGGATCACTTGAGGTCAGGAGTTTGAGACTAGTGTCTGGCCAACATGGTGAAACCCCATCTCTATTAAAAATACAGTAATAAGCCGGTGTGGTGGCATGTGCCTGTAACCCCACTTACTCGGGAGGCTGAGGCAGGAGAATTGCTTGAACCTGGGAGGTGGAGGTTGCAGTGAGCTGAGATCAAGCCACTGCACTCCAGCCTGGGCGACAGAGCAAGACTCTGTCTCAAAAAAAAGAAAAAATTATATATATGTGTGTGTGTGTGTGTGTATATATCTATGTATATATATGTGTGTATATATATAAAAATAAAATTTGGCATATTCCCACCTCCATAAAAGATTTTATTTAGCTTCACTTTCTGAAGTTTGTATCGTAAAAATGAGTTTATTTTTCACATACGGAATCATAATACTAAATATTAATACTGATTATAGTGTTTCAAAATATGCCTCCCTTACCCCCAGAACACAATCTGGGCCCAACTTGGTCCCCATGGGCCTAACACACATTAGCCACACACAGATTTGGGTTGACAATTACTTAACCTTTTTTCCGTTTCTTCATCTTAAAATTTTGTATAATGGTGCCTATACACCTCCCAGGGGTATGTTTTGAAGAAACAAGATAATGAAATTTAAGCACTTAGCACAGAGCCTGGCACAGTGTAGTTACATAATAAATACTAATTATAACTAGTAGCCTTTAGTGTTCCTTAGAGCTCTGGCCAAGTTAGGAGCTCAGAAACGATACAGCTGCTTTTTAGGACCAGATGATAGTTAAGGAAGATATTTGATTCCAGAAGTCTACCTTAGGACTTGGTTATGGGAAGTAGAGGCAGCTGAGGGTTGCTGGCCCTGGTAAATGACCCCACTGTCCTCTTCCAGGGAGCCCAGAGGAGCGTGGTCTGACACAGTGGAAAGCTGGGGCTCATGCCAACAGTGACACGTCTTCCAGCCTCAAGAGCTACGATTTCCCCATTGGGATGGGCATAGTAAAAAGAACTGCTTTTCTGAAATACATTCCTATCTGCCCAGTCTTCAAAGGATTTTCTTCAAGTTCAAAAGATCAGTTTCCAATTCCAGAAGACACTCCAGAAAATACAGAAACTGCATCTGTGTGCACCAAGGTCTAAAAAATGACTTCCAGGAAAGGTAGGATGTACCTATAGTTTTTGTGAGAGGGCTGAATAACCAAAACATTCTTATGCTAAAACCAAACTACTCAGTTTCCTTTCTTGTAACCTGTTTGAATGTCCTCAAAGAGAAGGTAAACTGGGTAAAAAGTCAATATATGGATTTTGGATGGAATTCCTTTGCCATTTCATAGTAAGAGCAGAACTTCTCAACTGGTATGGGCCACTAAGAGGTTACAAGTATGCTGAAATGCAGATCCTCTAGCCTTCCATACACCTGGGCAAAATCTGGGCCAACTGGAGTCCTTGAGCTAAGAACTCCAGCCACAGGCAACCTCATTCTTGTACTCCAGTATGCTAAACAAGTATCACTCTGATATGTAACATGGAAAAGGTTGAGAAGTACAGCACAAGAACAGGAAAAATCCTCTCATATACACTGCACCTTATTTCAATAACATCATAAAATTAAAACCCTCTAAAACAGGATGCCTTTATCCTAAAACAATGCCCGTACAGGCCCTGATGAGGTGATCATTTGTCCTTAGGGCTTCATAATGCATGGGCAGCTGATGCTCAGAAACCTTCTGTCACTATCTGAATGCAGATGCCTGACTCTAGTTAAACACTGACATGGTTTCAACGTGCATGTTCCCTCAGACAGACAAGAAAAGTTCCCAAAAAGAGAGGTTAGTGTAAATGACTCCTCATAGTAAAAATAACAACACTTAAAACAGGACTTTCTATGTGCCAGAGACTGTCTTAAATGCTTATATGTATTAACTACTCATGTAATCCAGAGACAGTTATTACTGCCATTTTAGAGATGTGGAAAGGAAGGCACAGAAGGGTTAAGTAACATGGCCATGATCACAGGATTCACATCCACGAAGTCTGGCTAGAGCCCCCTTTTCTAAAATTTTTCCACAACAAAAGCTACATTTGAGAATCTTTATTCTTGTGAGAGATCACCTGAGGTCAGGAGTTCGAGACCAACCTGGCCAACATGGCAAAATCCCGTCTCTACCAAAAAAATACAAAAATTAGCTGGGCGTAGTGGCGTGCACCTGTAAACCCAGCTACTAGAGAGGCTGAGGCAGGAGAACCGCTTGAACCTGGGAGGTGAAGGTTGCAATGAACTGAGATGGCGCCACTGTACTCTAGCCTGATCAACAGAGCGAGACTCCGTCTTCAAAACAAACAAAACCCCCCCCCAAAAAAAACCCCACACAGTGGGACACAGGTGCACACACCAAAGAACCCCTCTCCCAGAAGAATGTGAGTCAGAAATGACTACATGGCTTTCTTAATCTTTTTCAACCTCATAAGCTCAAGAAGAGCCCTTGTGAAAAACAAAAGACAATGGAGGTTCTATTAAAGTAAGGTCACCATCATATTGGTCAGTCATAAAGTTTCTTACATGGCTGTCTAGGATTCCCCTGACACCGCAGCCTGAGGTGATTAAGAAGCAAGGATGGGCAATGGAGTTATTCTACTACACAGCAACATATCTGTTAGTTGGAATCTAACAAAGTCTGATTGCTTAGCATTTCTGCCAGCAAGGTAGTCCTGAGGCACTGGGCCCATACTAAAGTAACACCACTACAGTACATTCCAGCACCAATAAACACAACCATCTGCTCAGTTCTACTATTATTTATTTTTTTAAATATTTTTGAAAAAATATAATTTTTTTACAATATTTTCAACTTAAACACTATTCACACTGAACACGTATGGCAGCTTAACCTACCCAAATATGAAGTTTAAGAAGCCAAAACTGTTCTAGCTTTGTTAAAAGAAAAGTTGTGCTGCAGACTCTTGTGATGGTTAACAAAGCAAGGAAAAGCACCACTCAAATCATAATGTTACAGTGTCTTTGTTCAGCAGGATTATGGGTTGGTATTGGTCATATGTTAGACTGCACACAGGCATAGCTATGATGCAATGAATCCCTTAGAAGTTACAATTCTCAAATTATATACTTCCTCAGATGTAACATTAGAACTCAATATTTCAAACACAATAACATATCAGAAAAACCTGGACTGGTACTCATCTGCTAACTAACTTGTAGCCTCAGTAATATGACACACCTGTCTATAACAAATTATCTCAAATATGCTTAACAGTTGGAACTCAAATTTACTGATTTTAAAATTTAGACACAAGTGTTAGTTAACACTAAGGGACCAGTTTAGCCTGAAAAAAAGACAATTTAGTAAGGTTTAGGTCTTTTAATTTGGTGCTTGTTCACAACTTGACTGGTGCTTCTTTCCTTGCTGTCTCCACATGAAGCCATGGGGCCAATTCTATTTTCAGTAAATGTTTGACAGCTTTTTACTTAATAACAGTCTCAGCACTTTTATTAAGCATGCAAGACTAACAAAAACTTTGGCAATGCATAAGTGTAACACAGTGACAAGAGAGAGCTTTTACAATTAAGTCTTCTAATACTGCCTTCACAGTGTGGAAATTGTGCTACATCCACCAAAAGAGGGCCCCGTCTACTCAAATATTTTAGTACTTCACCCCAGGAACAAACTCCTTTGCATTTGGATTCAGATTGCTCTTGACCTGGAAAATAAGTATATAAAAAAGCAAGTTCATTAACAGTTTCAGATACTCATTCAACCTAGATCCTTATGCAAAAACACCTTTCAAAAAGTAAGACAAAAGAACTGTAAGACTACACTTAACCCCAAAAAGGAGGAACCAGATGTAACCTATATATCATATCAAATTATATCAATTTTCTAAAGAGAAAGTAGGAATTGAAATTCAGTTTGCTTAAGTGTAATCAGAAATCCAGTAACTTCATATAAATTAAAGGAATAGCACTGAAGAAGGAATTCTGTTAACTGAATTATGGTATGTAGCTTTCTTTAAACACCAAATACCAAGGAAACATGCTAAACAAGTGTTGAAATTATGATTAAAGTTAGTGGAGAATTGTTGATGGATTAATTTTACTTTAGAATCCCCACTAAAAATATGGAGTTGTTTTTCGACAATTGCCATCTTCTAATTCCCATAGGAAGCATGGCAAATAACAGGCAAAGAAAACTACATGGCAAACAAGACCTAAGTCCAAAATCCCAGCTCTACCCCTAACTTCTACGTAAATTCAGATAAGTCACTTTTCTCTGGGATTCCTTTTTTTTTTTGCATCAGATAAAAAAAAAGGGGGCGAGGGGGGGGGCAAAGTCTGAGTCTTAGAGACTTGTGCCAATGTTATGCTATGTCGCTAAATCTTTACTCTCCTAAGCAGACTTGTCAGCATCTAGGAAGAACAGCTAGAAATTTTCCTCTGCGATATTTTAGATTGCAAGTTGATAAAAATAAAAAGAAATGAGGGCAGGTTCCAGGGCCTGAAATGTAAGTATGCTAGCAGGCTTTTACAATGAATTTGACCCTGTATCACTTCAAGACTAACGCATAGTATTAAATGTGATGTTGGAGAAATAATTTTAGTTTTGTAATTTATACACACAGTTTCTTTGGACAGGATATATGCTCCCTTCCTCCAAGGGAAATACTGTATCTACACTTTAGAAGTGTGAAGTTTAAGGAAAAAAACAGCATTCTTTTTTCTCTTTTTTGAGACAGGAACTCGTTTTGTTGCCCATTCTGGAGTGCAGTGTCATAATCGCAGCTCACTATAGCATCAACCTCCTGGGCTCAAGCTATCCTCTAGCCTCTGCCTCCCTAGTACCTGGGACCACAGGCCTGTGACACCACACCCAGCTAACTTAAACTTTTTGTAGAGACAGGGTCTCCTTATGTTGCCCAGGCTGGTCTCAAACTCCTGAGCCAAAGTGATCCTCCCATTTTGGCCTCCCAAAGTGCTGGGATTACAGGCATGAGCCACCACAACATAATCTTCTTAAATGAACAATCTTTTCAGAGTGACAGAAGAATAAGAATGAAACAAAGTAATATCAAATAGACTGAGAAAAACAAATCAGCTTCTGTACTATGGAATTATATGGGGTCCAGATTAAAGTTATACATTACAGGGCAACTGGGATTATTTACGGTGACTTATGTGGCCATAAGTAATCATACCCCCACAGACTGTTCAGATCATACAGCTACTCAAATGGGTTACCATCGCTTACTGTAACAAAGGCTATACCACAATGTAAATGTCAGTGTTCTCTACACCATCCTTTAGAAGAATGGTTTCAAAATGCCCAATTCAGGCAGGTTGGCTATATAATAAATCTTCTGGAGTATTTTTTTTTTTTTTTTTTGAGACGGAGTTTCATTCTCGTTACCCAGGCTAGAGTGCAATGGCGTGATCTTGGCTCATTGCAGCCTCCGCCTCCTAGGTTCAGGCAATTCTCCTGCCTCAGCCTCCTGAGTAGCTGGGATTACAGGCATGTGCCACCATGCCCGGCTGATTTTTTGTATTTTTAGTAGAGATGGGGTTTCACCATGTTGACCAGGATGGTCTCGATCTCTTGACCTTGTGATCCACCCGCCTCAGCCTCCCAAAGTGCTGGGATTACAGGCGTGAGCCACCGCGCCCGGCCCTTCTGGAGTAATTTTTAAAAATCAGGCCGGGCGCGGTGGCTCACGCCTGTAATCCAAGCACTTTGGAGGCCAAGGCGGGCAGATCACCTGAGGTCGGGAGTTCAAGACCAGCCTGACCAACATGGTGAAACCCCATCTTTAAAAAAATTTTTAAAAAAATCAACATGCCCAGACAACTGAGCATGTTGGGATGCAACTAAAGAACTGATTTTTGTATTTATTGCTTCATAGGTAATTACGGGGTACAGATTAGTTCAGTGGACCCTACCAGTTCTACTCTAGCGGTGATATTTAGTTATCACAATTCCCAAAGAAAACTTTTTATATCATTAGCAATGAGACACTAAGAATAACAAAAAAATGCAAATCTAGGTTTGTGTCTCTTTTCTGCCAAGAGCTTGTAAAATTCTTTATTAAACCACAGCTCCAAACAAACTGGGTACCTCAATGAAACCCTGGGTCAGGAAAAGATCTCTGAAATTTTTACCTTTCAGATAAAAATTTGCATATTTCACTGAATGTTTAAGTTTTTTTTTTTTTTTTGAGATGGAGTCTTACTCCGTCACCCAGGCTGGAGTGCAATGGCATGTTCCACCGTAACCTCCTCCATCTCCTGGGTTCAAGCAATTCTCCTGCCTCAGTAGGAGAGTAGCTGGGATTACAGGCATGTACCACCATGCCCTGCTAATTTTTGTATTTTTAGTGGAGATGGGGTTTCACCATGTTGGTCAGACTGGTCTTGAACTCCTGACCTCATGAGCTGCCGGCCTCGGTCTCCCAAAGTGCTGGGATTACAGGCGTGAGCCACCGTGCCCAGCCAAGACAAGACTGAAGAGCAAAACTTCTCCATCAAGCTATTTTTATATAGGCAAGTAACATGGTAATACTGTGTTTTAAAATTATTAATTCTTTAGGACATTTAAATACCCTAGGGCAACATCAGGACTAAAAGCAGGGGCTAGAAGTCTAAGACTAGCTCCACAGTGTTGCCAGAAGTCACTCCACATCATGAGACTCTGCTTTCATTGAAAAAAAGCAGCACAATTTCTTTTTCTTTTTTTGAGACAGAGTCTAGCTCTGCTGCCCATGCTGGAGTGCAATGACACGATCTTAGCTCATTGCAATCTACGCCTCCCAGTTCAAGTGCTTTTCTTGCCTGAGCCTCCTGAGTAGCTGGGATTACAGGCACACACCACCAAACCCAGCTAATTTTTCAGTAGAGATGGGGTTGGTTTCACCATGTTGGCCAGGATGGTTTCAAACTCCTGACTTCATGATCCACCTGCCTCGGCTTCCCAAAGTGCTGGGATTACAGGCGTGAGCCACCTCGCCAGCTTTTTTTTTTGTTGTTGTTGTTGAATCAGACTCTCACTCTGTTGCCTAGGCTGGAGTGCAATAGTTTGATCTCTGTTCACTGAAATCTCCGCCTCCCAGGTTCAAGCGATTCTCCTGCCTCAGCTTCTCAAGTAGCTGGGATTATAGGCATGTGCCATCACACCCACCTAATTTTTATGTTTTCAGTAGAGATGGGGTTTCACCATGTCGGCCAGGCTGGTCTTGAACTCCCGACCTCAGGTGATCCACCCACCTCGGCCTCCCAAAGTGCAGGAATTATAAGCATTAGCCACTGTGCCCAATTTTTGTATTTTTAGTACAGATGGCATTTTGTCATGTTGGCCAGGCTGGTTTAAACTCCTGACCTCAAGTGATCGTTCGCCTCGGCCTCCCAAAGTGTGCTGGATTACAGGCATGAGCCACCACGCCCGGCCAGAAGCAGCATAATTTCTGAAGGGGAAGAGAGATGCAGAATACTTAAATAGACGGCAGCTGGCTTTTCGACTTATGCAAAAGATGCACTACATTTAAAAAAGATGAAAAGTAACTTTTTACCACAAGATCTTCCAGAGAAGAGCCGTCACTGATAACAAGGTCATTAAACTGGTCTTGGATTTGGTCCATAGTTTGTGGGAGATCTCGAGCTGGAATAAACCATTCATGCTCTTCTTCCTCTTCCAGCATTTCTTGGAAACAGCGTTCAATAAATTCTTCTTCCCATAACTCCTCTTCTATCTAGATTTATAATAAAGGATAATTTGTAGTAATTATTTATAATAAAGTATAATTTGTAACACGATATATATCACTAGGAATGGCTTAAAATATCTTGAACTAAACCATTTAAAAGCACAAGGTCATACTTTCTTTTCTGCTTCTGTGCTAAGGGAAAAAAAATGCTTACCATAATGACCTGTGAGGATCTGTTTAGGGTTTTTCTATATTTTTACTTTTATTAAAGAACATTCTTTTTTCCATTGAGGGTGGCAGGGAAGAAGTAAAAAGAGACGCTCTCTTCAAGGAATGCATATCAGAATTACCTGTGATACTTTAAAATTATACAAACCATAATCCAACCCCAAAATGAATAAAACAAAACAACTAAGGGGCAGAGTCAGAGAATGAGTAATTAAAAACAACAACAACAACAACAACAACAAAAAACAAACACTCAACTGATCCTCACAAAAATAAGACTAAAGTGTTTTACTCTTGAATATCCATCACCGGATGTAGAAAAGTCAAGCTGGCTACTGGTTATTAAAGCCACGATTAGGTGAGGAATTAGAAGATGGGAACAGATTCCAGACATATGGGAATAAAAGACAACGTTTATCAATGCATGACAGTTCTCTAAACAGAAGAGTGGTATCAAATTTTTCAGGCTGATCACATCAAGGACTACAGGTGAAAAACAGCATAATTCTGGATCCTAAATCTGCCTGTCTTCTCCTGACTCCTGAATTCTCTTGACTTTCATGGTAACACAGCAATCTGACTGGCGTAAGGCAGTGGTTTCCAAATCTGATTGCTCATTGGAACCATCTCGGAGCTTTGCAGAAGTTTCCCAGGCTCCACCCTCGTCCTCCTGATTCAAGTTCCCCAGGTTATTTCTGTAAGCAGTTAAGCCTGGTGGTAATCAGCAGCCAAATAAATAGGAGTGGTAGCACATCAATCTACGTATTTCATACATAAAGGACAAGATAAACACTTCAGGGACAAGTACAATCATATTGAGGGCTGGAATGGAATATAAAAAATAACATGTTTGTACAAAAAACTAACTTGTCTGTTGAATTCTTCTTCATTTTCCATCCACATGTACTCTGCAAATGGATTGTCATCTTCATGAGAATGACCGTTAATAATCACATCTTCATTGATGATGCTTGGGCTAGTACTGCTGCGACTTGGATCTTTCATGGTTGATGTTAGTTGTCGTTTTTAACCTTAAAAGAACAATACTACAGTTAATTTATTCATTCAGGTTTTCCTCTTTTTGAGACAAGGTTTCGCTCCGTCATCCAGGCTGGAGTGCAGTAGTATGACTGTGGCTCACTACAGCCTCCATCTCTTGCCTCAGCCTCCCAAGTAGCTGGGACTATAGGTGTGCACCATCGCACCTGGCTGAATTTTTTAAATTTTTTGTAGAAACAAGGTCTGTGTTACCCAGGCTGGTCTCAAATTTCTGGGCTCAAGTGATCCACCCACCTCAGCCTCTCAAAGTGCTGGCATTACATGCATAAGCCACCAGGCCCAGCTGATCCTTTCAGTTCTTAGTAAGCACCTGTTTATTATTAGCAGGCATCATGAACAGGTGTTAGAGGTAGATGATACATTAAGTATACATAGTAAGTTGAGCAATTGGAAAGCTTCTTTATTTTTTCCCCAAATGATTTTAATGTTTAAGAAATAGCTGAGGAGAGCCTAAAGCATTTAATGTTTTCTTTTTTGTTTTTTCCTTTTGAGATGGAGTTTCACTCTGTCACCCAGGCTGGAGTGCAGTGGCACGATCTTGGCTCACTGCAACCTTCACTGCCTGGGTTCAAGTGATTCTCCCACCTCAGCATGGGTGAATCTGGGATTATAGGTACGTGCTACCATGCCCAGCTAATTTTTTTGTATTTTTAGTAGAGACAGGGTTTCACCACGTTGGCCAGGCTGGTCTTGAACTAACCTCAGATGACCTGCCCGCCTCGGCCTCCCAAAGTGCTGGGATTACAGGAGTGCACCACTGTACCCAGCCACATCTAATGTTTTCTTTTTTCTTTTTTTTTTTTTGCCCACCTGCAACCGTCTTGAGTTATATTTTTGTCTTTTTTATTTAATGTTTTCCGGTAACAGTAAATAAAGTCCATCAGTTGCTTACATGGACTCTCCAAACCATCCAATTTATATTTTATGTTACATATCGCTTGCTTTATAAAACAAGCATGGTCGGCTGGGCACAGTGGCTCACACCTGTATTCCCAGCACTATGGGAGGCCAAAGCAGGCAGATCATTTCAGATCAGGAGTTTGAGACCAGCCTGACCAACATGGTGAAGCCCTGTCTCTATTAAAAATACAAAAAAATTAGCCAGTCGCAGTGGCGCATGCCTATAGTTCCAGCTAGCTACTCAGGAGGCTGAGGTGGGAGAATCACTTGAACCCAGGAGGTGGAGGTTGCAGTGAGCTGAGATCACACTGCACTCCAGCCTGGGCAATAGAGTGAGACTCTATCTCAAAACAGCCACAAAAAAACAAGCATAGTCTAGAAGACTGAGTCATCAAGTGACAAAATGATGAAAAGCAAATTCCATTTTTTAAAACTGACTTCAAAAAGTCCAGGGATTGAAAGTGAAAACAGATTTTTAATAACGTCTTAGGTTCCTCAGGTATAGCTTTGGATCTCTCTTTCATAGCCCATTCTCTGTCTGCTTTTTCTCTAGGTCCATGTCAAGTTCTTCCATGTCTGGATTTCCTCACTGTACTGTGAGTTTCAGGCATCTAATATCTTTTTTTTTGAGACAGGGTCTGACTCTGTTGCCCAGGGTGGAGTGCAGTGGCAGGATCTCAGCTCATCACAACCTCTGCCTCCCAGGCTCAAGCGATTCTCCTGTCTCAGCCTCCTGAGTAGCTGGTATTGTTACAGGCACATGCCACTACTACCCAACTAATTTTTGTATTTTTAGTAGAAACAGGATTTCACCACATTGGCCAGGCTGTTCTTGAACCCGTGACCTCAAATGATCCACCTGCCTCGGCCTCCCAAAGTGCTGGGATTACAGACATGAGCTACTGTGCCTGGCCCAATATCTTTTCATCTGAGTAAAAGTGGTATCAAATACAGGTCTGATGTCTTATACTACTCAATAGCTCATAACATGATCTAACTTAATTGATACATTGCAGACTGAAAATTTGAAAAGCAAGGTTTCACATTCTAAATATTCCAATTCATTAAGTTTGAAATCACTAAAAGCAGTTTACATAACAATTTACCTGTACCTAAACTCAAGGAGTATTGTGACTTGTGCCAAAGAAAGGGCTATTGAGGTCTGCTTACTTCAAATTTATCATAATAAAGTAAAACACTAAATCTAAAATCTCCTACTGGAAATATATGTGTATTTTTTTCCCCTTTGGGATAAGTTTCAGGAAAAGACTAGCTCTATGTGTGTTGCCTGGCCCTTTAATTTTACGGACTTATCCTTAAAAGAACATAAATGTAAAAATCCATAGCTGTTTACATAATATGACAAACATGAGATACTAACAATAAGATGATAGGGGTGAAAATTTTAATTGTTGAGAGGTCCTCAACTAAAAATTACTAAGGAACTTCAGCCCTAGTTGTAGTATGTATGTCTTGGCTCACTCCTGTAATTCCAGCATCTTGGGAGGCCAAAGCAGGCAGATCACTTGAGCCAAGGAGTTCGTTACCTGGGCAATACAGAGAAACGCCATCTCTACTACAAATACAAAAAACTAGCTAGACGTGGTGGTGCACGCCTGTAATCCCAGCTACACAGGAGGCAGAGGTTACAGAGGCAAGATCACGCCACTGCACTTCAGCCTGGGCGAGAGAGCAAGGCTCTGTCTAAAAAAAAAAAAAAGAGAAGAAAAAAGGAAAGAAAGGCAGGCAGGCAGGCAGGTAGAAACAAGCTGGGTGTGGTGGCTCATGCCTATAATCCCAGCACTTTGGGAGGCCAACGGGGGTGGATCGCTTGAGCCCAGGAGTTTGAGACCAGCCTGGGTAACATGGCAAAGCATGGTATAATGGTGCACGCCTGCAGTCCCAGCTACTTGGGAGGCCAAGGTAGGAGGCTCTCCTGAGCCTGGGAGGTGGAGATTGCAGTGAGCTGAGATTGTGCCGCTGCACTCCAGCCTGGGTGGCAGAGCAAGACCCTGTATTGTACAACAATACAACCAAACAAAAGAAGAAAGGCAGAAACGGACTCAGAGTTATGTGCTAGGGTGTCAGAAGAAAGAAAATATGATTTGTTAGGAAACTGAGTCACTATAAAAGCAGACAAGACAGAAAAAAAGACAATGGATATGTTTTTTTAAATTTATCATTAACCTTGGACGAAAAACTATTTTGATAGCAAGTTTTGACTAAATTATTAGTTCCTCTAAAGAAAATAAGAAAACTATTCTTATTATTTTAAGACAGAGAGTGCAGTGGCGCGATCTCTGCTCACTGCAACCTTCGCCTCCTGGGTTCAAGATATTCTCCTGCCTCAGCCTCCTGTGTAGCTTGGATTACAGGCGTGTCCCACCATGCCTGGCTAATTTTTTTCCATTTTTAGTAGAGACAGGGTTTCGCCATGTTGGCCAGGCTGGCATCGAACCCCTGACCTCAAGTGATCTGCCCGCCTTGGCCTCCCAAAGGCTGGAATTACAGGCATGAGTCACTGCGCCTGGCTGAAAATTACTCATTATTATATGGCAGGCTACCAAACTGCTTACTGTTTAAAAAAAAATTATATTTTAGCTAATCCTGTAACACTATGAATAGCTGGGATCAATCCTACCTCCCAAATGGATGGAACTTTGCTTAAATCTGCATCTGAACCTATCATTACGTTAGGTACAAAGACACCTCAATATAAAATGGCTTTGCAATATTTTTCCCAATTTGTATCCTGTCCCAACTTATACCCATAAAATCCTACTTTTCACACCGGGCACAGTGGCTCGTTCCTGTAATCCCAGCACTTTGGGAGGCCAAGGTGAGCAGATCACTTGAGGTCAGGAGTTCAAGTCCAGCCTGGTCAACATGGAAAAACCCCATCTCTACAGAAAATATAAAAATTAGCCGGGTGTGGTAGCACATGCCTGTAATTCCAACTACACAGGAGGTTGAGGGAGGAGAATCACTTAAATCCAGGAGGCGAAGATTGCAGTGAGCCAAGATCGCACCACTGCACTCTCCAGTCTGGGTGACAGAGTGAGATTCAGTCTCCAAAAAAAAAAAAAAAAGGCCAGATATAGTGGTGCACGCCTGTGGTCCCAGACACTCAGGAGGCTGAGGTGGGAGGATCACATGAGCCCGAGGTCAAGACTACAGAGAACCATGATCACACACCACTGCATTCCAGCTTGGGCAACAGAGCAAGACCTTACCTCAAAAAAGAATTTACCATTTTAAACTGTTTGATTCACTGGTTTTTACAACACCACAACTACCTAATTCCAGAACATTTTCACCACCCCAAGAAGAAACTCCGTACCCATCTGTAGTCACTCTCCATTTCCCAAGCCCTCCAACTGCAGGCAACCACTAGTCTACTTTCTGTCTCTATAGTATGAATCAGCATTTCATTCCTTTTTATTGTCAAACAATATTCCACTGTATGGAGATCCACACTTTGTTTATCCACTCTGATTAATGAACATCTGGGTTGTTTCCACTTTTTGGCTATTAATAATGCTGTTATCAGTATTTGTGTACAAGTTTTTATATGAGCATGTTTTCAGTTCTCCTGAATGTATGCCCAGAGTGTGTTCTTTCAATGCTAGTCAGTCTTTCAACTATACATTTTGAACTGTGACAGAAGAAAATGAGCAAAAATGGTAGTGGACTCCCTCCTTACCACCAGACATAATCCTCACTCCAAATCCTTTTCCCAAAAGTAAGCACTGCTAAAGCTGCATATATTTGTCTTAAAAAGTACACACGCAACAAAGGTACTGCATTTAAGGGGCTTACAATCATCACCTATTTAATACCCACAAAAGTCCTGTGGATGCAGCCATTATGGTCCAATTAATTTCCATGACAAAGAAATTAAGTCTTAAGTAGCTGGTACCAGGTTACACAACTAGCAAATGGTGGAGTTGAAATTCAAGTCAAGGTAGCTTGACTCTAAAACATGCACTAGGGCCCAGCACTTAGGGAGTCTGAGGTGGGCCTCCAGACCCAGCTGTTCAAAACCAGCATGGGCAATATAGTGAGACCTTCA